AGGTATCTGTGTGGCAATGAATGAATCCTATGCTTAGGATATTAGAAAGATTCAATGTCTGTCTTACCCATTATCCCTGCTGGAAGATTGTAGACCAAGAATTACCTATAAAAAAACGAACCAAACCAAACAAAAAAAAACAACAAAAAAACCCCACCAAACAAAAAACCCAACAACTTTCTGACAGTCAAGCTAAACTTCAGTTTTCTTAGTTTTGACTAATTACTGCACAAGAAAGCCCCTGTGTGAGCTTACAGTGTTTTTTTCCCTTGTCCATTATTCATGAGCTTTCATATTATTTGAGAGGCTTTAAATATCTCTGGATAAATTATGTGTAAGTAAAATACTAACTGATTCTTTTCAACTAACATGTTCAGTAATAATGATGTTTAATTAGTTCAGACCTGCACTGCAAATTGGCCTGTATGTTTCTGGTTTCTCCAAATATGGATTAAAATCAAGCTTTATAGTTTTATACTAAGATTTTTTTAAGCTGAAATTAATAGTCAAAAGGAGTAAACAAATGCAGGATTGTTCTAGTACTCTGCTTCCTCAGCAAGTGATATCTAAAAATACAGAAGTACCTAAGAGTACTTTAAGTGACAAAGAATTTCTGCAAAATGAAGTCCTTCAAACTGTCTACAAAGCTCCCCCTAAGAAGTTTATTTAATTAGTTGTAAGGATTTTGAACAGCTATGATTCTACTGCAGTGCAATCTGAGCCTGACAGGCTAATACCTTAAGCATAAGAAAACATTTTTAATGTACTTTTTACAGAATTGTGCTCTATGGACACAAATGAATGAGCTGTTGATAAATTAAAGCTGAAGGGAGTAGGATCCTATGGCCACAGCAACTTAACATGCTTTTACCCTTCTCCAGGACTGTTACAGCCCACTTCTTTTACCTTTGCTACTTTAGCTCCCTCATACTAATTTCACTTTTGAAGGGGTGTGCTATCAGGGAAAATTGATGCTGGTCACACAGGTACAGCTGTCAGGACACAAAACATTGTGTATGAAGGCATACTCCACACTTCCTGCTTGTGGTGTGCTTTCCCTCAGGCCACAGAGCCCTAGCCACGTGATTTCTAGATATAAGGGACTTTCCCATGATCATAGGAAGATTAGGTAACTGCCCTACTGCTTGTTCCCTCCCTGCTGGGGGGTTAGGACTTGATCCAAACCCAAAAGAAGTCTGATGACAATTTCACTGACTTACATGGGCTTTTGAAGTCAGACTCTATAAATAAAGACAGTCTTCATGGAGTGGAAAGTTTGAATAAATGGGACTGACTGAAATGACTGCTTTCTCTTAGTCTCCAACCTGCATCCAGCAGCCGCATCAACCTTCAGCATGAATGTATATGTTGGAGTCCTAGCAGGAACACATTTAAGCCTCATAGAGCTTTCACAAAATTAATGATCCTGGACTTTTGGCATTTTCTAGCCCAGCCTCCTGCTCAAAGCAGGACTACCAGCAGTGCTGGATTGGATCAGCCATGGCTTTGCTTTGCTGAGTCTAGAAAACCTTAAATGATAGACTGTGTTTTTTTTCCAAGTATGTGGCTTGAACCTCTGAAGTAGAGTCATCTGCCTATGCCACTGGTTGTTATCTGCCACTACTTAGAAGCTGGCTCTTTATAACTGACCTTCAAGCAGCTATAGGCTTTTAGCAGACACCCCCACAGCCTCCTTTTCCTGACTAACCAAGACTGGCTCCCTCAACCTCTCCTTGTAAAATATATGCTCTAGGGTGCCATCTTGGTAGCTGTCTACTCCATCCTCTCCAGTTTCTCAACATTTTCTTTGAACTGAGGGCCCAAACTTGACTACAGTACTCCAGATGAAGCCACACCATTTCTGAGTACTCATGCATAATGGCTTCTCTCACTCTGCTGACTGCATTTCTAATGTAGCCCAGTATGCAGTTTTCCCCACTTGTGATGAGAGCACACTGCTGGTTCACGATCAACTTCCACAATAATCCCTACATCCTTTGCAGGAGGACTACTTGACAGCCAATTGATACTCACTTCTTTCCAGCCTTATATATATATTACCCCTGTGTTTACCTATCCTCTAACCAGAAAACAGCTTTACAGCTTTTCCCGCCCCACCACCCCCACCCTCCTCCTGTTGTAAGGTCAGCTTGACTTAAAAACTTGTGCTGTTGGCTTGATCTACTGCAGAGGTAAGCATCAGCTGCACAATCTGCTTCCAGGTCCCCACACTTCCATGTTCAGGCTGTACCTAATGTGGTGGTTTTCACTGTTATATGGCTTTTCCCCTTGGCATACCTCATTGTGGAAAAAGCAGCTATCCAACATACTTTTCTGTAATCTCTCATTCATTCATTACAGGCAGATAACAACTCAGCTTGTGAAAACTCATCTGCAGTCATGAAAGAGTTACAGTTTGTATGTCCGAGCAGGAAATTTTAGATGCGTGCAGGCAGCCAATAAAAGGAGAGATCAACAGCACAAGCTGACTCACGGTTAGGAAAGCTCCAGTTGTGTTTGAATGCAGTTCACAGCCGACTTGTACTTGGTATCTCCAACAGTTTCACCCCATCATTCCATAGTTTTTATGCCCATATTTCCAGAGGTAAGTTGATTTTTGTTTCCGATTTCTTTTCCTGAGACATCTGTATATTAACATAATGTAGACTTTCTCTTAAGGAAAACATCTTTGCTATGAATTACTCTTTAAAAAATTACCTTTAAAATTAGAAACTTGAAATAAATAGCATTATAGCAGTCTCCCTCCTGCCCCTGACTGCCCACCTATGGGAGAATAACAAAGCTGTCTGAGACTTTGTCTTACTAAAAAATAATACAAAACCCTTCATTGCAAAGGTCACCTAAGAAATACTGGGGTTGTGGTTTGACAGTGAGTTTCTAAAAGAGTCTAGGAGAAAAAACATTTGGAATAGTAGGACTAATGGAAAAAATGGCTTTGGTATCAAACTTTCACTCTGGGGGGCAGAGACAGACTTTGTTAACTGTAATTCCATGACAGTCCCCTGTTCCTTGATTACTCCTTCCTACTGTTTTAGGTAGCACCCTGGATAAACAAAAGGTTTCTTATTTTAGGGTGAAACTCTTTCGGACATTATCAGAAAAGTTGAGGTGTAGAAACAGATGTACAAAATCAGACACAGAGACAGTGGTACTTGGCATGTCATGATTTGTAACAGAGAAAGATTGAAATGGTTTTCATTTTGTTTTTAGAAAATATCCAGTTAAATTAGGTTTTTCAAATCCAAATCAGCAGCTGATGGCTAGCTCTTATTTTTATCTAAGGAGCCACTTAGCAAGAATTAAAAAAACTGTTATAGTTTTACTTGATTCAATTTTAAATACAGATATTTCAGGAATGGTTTAGATCCTACATTCATTGCTTGATCTTTCTTGTAGTATGTTTGGAGTTGAGTAAATTCTTTTGGCTATTTAAATGACTATTTATCATAGTATATAATAAAAACGAGACATAATTCTGCTCCTGCCAGCTATTTGATTACTTCCTTTATATTTAGGATTAGTAGATCTGTGTGGTCTGTCTTTGCAACTTTGAAGGATAAATGGCTCATTTGGAAATCTATCTTCATTCAGAGCAATCTTTTGAAATTTTATGAAACTCTTAACCTGTCCATTATCCTTCTACTATACTGGATTTATTCTTTAAGGAATTCTTTAAGTGAAGCACCTAAGGCAGCTATTGCTTTCAAACTACAATAATCTAATAAAAAGCAAAAAGTGCAACTGTGTTTTCCTATCAGAATCAAATATTGCTAGGGCTGAACTGGTAAATCGGCTGCTGAATTTTTATCTGTGTTTTGATTGTGGTTAGATGCAAAACTGAACTTAGTACCCCTATGATTGTGACTATGCCTGCATGGCACAGCTGAAATACTGAGATTAACTGAAAAAGGTTGCTTGTGAGCTAGAAACAGTTCAGCCATGAGCATAGGCTAATATTTCTTCAGGTTTTTGTTTCTATTACACCCATTGAGAGCAAGTGGTGTGCTCAAAGTCAGAAGACTTTCAGGCCCTCTGTATCGCAGGACCTCTTTTTATAGAGTCTGTCTTTCAGAAAGACACAATTCACACTCAACAACCCTTACTGCTTACTTCAAATTTTTGGCACTGTTTCTTCAGTTCTCTCATATGTTTCCTTTTCTAGTTCTAGTCTACATGATCCTGAAGGGAATATTCCAGTTCTTCTGACTCACTGACCACTGATCTTGCCGTAATCCTTACCAATGGTTTTATCCCATCTGTTTTCTTAGCTTGCTTGTTTTTCTCTTTCACCACTGACTTTTGGTTTCCTCTTGTTCAATGAAGCTACACAGATGTAATAAACAACGTTACTCATGTAGTAACACAGTAGTGCTTTGCAGAGGTTAATTCTAATCCATCAGTATTGCCATGCAATGTATCAGACATTCAAATGGCCCTAGAGAGGTATTGTACAGAAGGAGTATGGGCCCAATTAGTGGCTGCTATAAAGACAAAACTCCATTTAGTAGAATTCCACCATCTTACATGTTGTAATAAGGAAGATATGCAAGAATGATGTAGAACACACTGACATGAGTTACTGAATAATTGCCTTTTTTTAAGAGAAGCAGGGAAGCTGTATTTGTCCACATGTAACTAAGGTACTAGTTTGTTGTCTACATAATGTAGTATCACTTTAAAGTCACATTTTGTATTATAAACATTTCAAAGTCACCAGATGGAAACAATAACGAGCAATTAATTAGCACCTTGCAGCCTCAGATGGCAAGCTATGGTCCAGACACTCCTTTGCAATTAGTGTGTTTTTCCTGTCTTTATAAGGAAATTCTGACACAGATCACCCTGTTGGATTAGGGTGATAGTTATTTGGGAAGTAAGGGGTGGTGCGACTTCACTGTGCTTTGGTGATAGTGACAAAATGTAGTTCTTAAAACTTTTTTCTTTTCTGACATTTTTTCCCTGAAGCCAGACATCAAGAAATGGCTAAATCATTACCTGTGGTAGCCCAGGAAGATTTGGATAGCTTTACCTTGACCAGGACAGGCTCAGGCTTTGCACTCAAAGCTTTTCATATTTCTTGGAACACTCACATCTCTGTGAAGCTACTGACCAGCCAGGACACTACAGAGAGGTATGTGTCTTATTTGGCCAACTAACCACAGATGGGCAGCCCAGACCTGCAGTGATGGCACCAGAACGAACCGTGGATGCTCAGGATCATCAATCCCTAAACACACCTCCATTCCTAGAAAACACAGAATCACAGAATGGTTTGGGTTGGAAAGGCCCTCAAGATCATCTAGTTCCAACCCCCTGCCATGGACAGGGATGCCTCAAACTAGACCATGTCGCCCAAAGCTCTGTCCAACCTGGCCTTGAACACTGCCAGCGGTGGAGTATTCACAACTTCCTTGGGCAACCCATTCCAGTGCCTCACCACCCTCACAGTGAAAAACTTCTTCCTTACATCTAATCTAAACTTCCTCTAGTTTAAGTGTGAACCCATTACCCCTTGTCCTACCACTACAGTCCCTAATGAAGAGTCCCTCTCCAGCACCCTTGCAGGCCCCCTTCAGATACTGGAAGGCTGCTCTGAGGTCTCCACGCAGCTTCTCTTCTCCAGGCTGAACAGCCCCAACTTTCTTAGCATGTCTTCATAAGGAAGGTGCTCCAGCCCCCTTATCATCCTTGTGGCCTTTTCTGGAGTTGCTCCAACAGCTCCATGTCCTTTCTATGTTGAGGACACCAGAACTGCACACAGTGCTCCAAGTGGGGTCCCACAAGAGCAAGAGTAGAGGGGCAGGATCACCTTCTTCACCGTGCTAGTCATGCTCCTTTTGATGCAGCCCAGGATACAGTTGGCCTTCTGGCCAAATTCTGACTAGCCAAGAGGTAGTTATAGTGAGAAACAAGCTCTATGGTTTTTTACAAATATTTATAAAAGTAGACCTTAATCCTGAAGTCATTAATTATCTTTACTATAATAATGTCTACAAATCTTGATCAGTTAACACTCAGCATGCTATGGTATTACATCTTTCTGGCGGTCCCTGAAGAGATCTCAGTTGAAATTAATCTAAAACAGCATGTACTGGTGAAACAGTAGAGAAATGGGAGGAGAGAGGGATAATGGTCGGGGCTACAGGGCAGTGAGATGTGTACATGTCCTAATTATGAAAATAAGTGACGGATCTCAGCCTACTGACCACAACATTCCAGTCCGCAGAAAGTTTCCAAGAATAACCACAAGCTACTTTTGATGAAGCAAGACCAAAGCACTTTAGGGAATGGGCTGACCGGACTGTTCATCAAAAAAGGAATGTCCGATGTGCATCTACGAACTAGTTACTCTTGTTAACCAAGAGCACTGCCATTCAGGTGGCTTTCGTTAAAAGCAAAATACAAATGTGTCCTACTCAAATACATTGTGTTTCATTTTTTCTCTTATAAAGGCAGAGAAAGAAAAAATGGTATTTCATATAAACATTTTTAAATTAACAGTTTACTTTGTCAGTGAGACTTCAAAAACAAAATGCTGCCAGATTTTGGGAATACAAATATTAAGGGTTTTGGGTTTTTTTGTGGTTGAGGGGAGGATTGCTTTTTATTTTTTAGACTATAGATGTCCAGCAATTTTGTAATCTGAAACAAAAGTGATTTGTTTGGCAGCTTGTTTGAAGGAAAAAGTTTCCTCCATCCCCTATTCACATTTTCTTTAAATCAAACAAACCAACCCCAATCTAAAATAGTTAAAATCACAGTTAAAATTTCCTTTGCTTTGAATGTGCTATCCTGATTGGGCAACTTTTCACTCAGACTTGCTGCCTTAAACTAAAGCCACTGTTTTGCTTTTCTCTCACTTCCTAGCATAATAATCTCTTGTTTACACCACACAGTGTTTAGGAAAGCTGGGACAACAAATTATGTTTCACTCTGGCTGTAAAATTCTTAACTATGTGCCCATGATAAGTATTTAGGTTTGTGGAAATAAGTGTTAAAACAGGTGGGGCCGTGAAGTATTTCCAGTGATTAGTTTACAGGCTTGTGAATCAGCACAGTAAGTATGAGAAACTGAGCCTGAAGTCTCAATGTAAAGGCTGGTTCGAATAATGAGAATGAGCTCCAGGTCTGCTGAGATCAACTGAATTTTTAATTAATTTCAATGAAATTTTAGCTTACAAGTACCACCAAGTAGAGATAATCAGACCTTTAAAATCAAGCATACGATTAACAAAAATTGAACCTGTAGCAAAAGTTATTTCCATGAAAGTGCACAACTAAATTGATAGTTTAGTGTTTTCTGTGCATGAAGAAGTATCTGTTTGAGGTCTTTAGAAAACAAAGCTTTATTGTTTCCATAATGAGCAAAGCAAATCTTTGCTGTTCTCTGTAAATAAACTCTGTTTGAATCCAGGTCTACAATCCAATCACAGCTGAGCTTGAATCAAATTTGGCAAAGTCACTAGAGTGGTACTGCTTACATCAGATCTGAATTTGGCTTCAGTTTTACATCAAGCTATGACATGCTATATCATGTATCATTTATAGAATATGGTCCCATTACATAAGCATGGAAGATCATAATTTCCTTGTAAATGTGGATCTTGCTGATAGCAAATGGATACAATTCCTTGGGAACAGTCAGGGGAAAAAACCCTTGATTTTTCTTTATCTAGCATTTAATTTAATTCAGCTTTCTCCTGCCCTTTCTCTTCAATCCTGCTTTAAATGGTGCTCTGATGTTCATATTAAGCATCCAGAGGTCTTTCACATTATACTAGAAAATTTCACTACACAAAAGATTGCTTCATTTTCTTAGAATTGTTTGGAAGATGATATAATAATGTTTTATTGGTAGAATTTGTCTTCAACCATATGGTTGTCTCTCATTTCCATACCCTACACTCTCTCATTTGTAGCTGCAATTCTCTTCAGTCTAACCTGCCTCTACTCCTTCTTTTGCCTTTTTACAGGGAGTGGAAGTTGCTACTTCAGGATATAGCAAGTGTCAGATGCTATGAGTCTGAACATCTTCTGCCTCCTCTTGGGATTTACCAATACCATGGACTTGTGGGGATAGTGTCTGAATGGATGAACAATGGATCCCTCCATTCACTCATCCATGAGGTACATAAAAGAAGGCATCTTTTATGTGACAAAATTAATGACAAGGTCAGCCAACAGAGATCAGTCAGCATGTAAATTATGAACAGTAGTCATAGCCAATCTGTCTTTAGCTTATGTACTGTACTTTTGTTTATTATCAAATGGATATGTGATTTGTAACAATTTCACACTACCAAACTCTGTATTTTGTGTTACTTAGCACCAACTGTACCCAGAACTTCCATTACCCTTACTCATAAGGATCCTGTCGGATGTGGCTGAAGGGCTGCATCACCTTCACAATCTTGGACCTGGTTTCTGCCACTGCAGCCTGAAACCTTCCAATGTGCTTTTGGATACACAGTACAGAGCCAAGGTAGGGCCTTCTACTTTTAGTCCATTCATGTCAAATCCAGGGATTGTCCTATTGTTGAATATATTTATCCCAATGGTCAACATTTAATACCAAGGTTTAAGGAATTGTTACTAAAATTTACTTTTTCTCCCATCTCTCTAGATATCAGATTATGGTCTAATCAACTGGAGGAAACAGCAACTGAGGTCAGACCTGCAGAACTGCAATCAGAGAACCTGCCAGGATTTAGTGTACTTCCCTCCTGAAATCCTTGGAGGTGGCCTTCCTTCCCAGGAAGGTGATATTTACAGGTGAATGACATTTCTAGGTCATACCTTGTCCTTGCTATCATATAATGTTGCTGAATTACTTATTTTTAAAGACACTACAGTAAGAATAATGCAGCAGGATAGTATTCCACATTAGGCCAATGACAGCAGTGAATTAAATGTGAAATTCCCATACCTGATGAATAATATACCAAGGTTAAGAACTGTGCCCAAAGTTCATCATGTAAATATTTATATAATGGACCTAAATGTTTAAAAAGTATAACATAGCTGCCAAAACTCTCACATACAGTTAGAGACCTATTAACTACTTCACATGGTTTCTAAGTATGAACTATTGTTGGCTTGAGTTTCAGGAAGAACTGTTTATACCTAGATGAGGCCCAGGTAAAAGTAAGACCTTTCTCTCAATAATGTCCAGTTAAGACCCTATGGAATCTCTGCTGGAATAACTTACTGAGCCACTCAAGCATTCATTCTTTTTAAAAAAGTGATTTATACAAAGGAGGATTACCTACTGCCACATGACCCTTTTGGATATGTTACCTGGTCTGTGATTGCCTCAATAAATGAGACAAGCTCAAATTGCAACTCCTGTCTGTATGGACATACATCTCTACAACCAGCACACAGAGTCTGTGGACTAATATTATAAATAACTTGTAAGCATGACCACACAGCTGCTTTCAGAACTTTTATGGAAGCAACAAAGCTTTCTTTGTTGTCACACAGGCAGGCTCTAAGATGAGTCAAATAATGCAAACACTTGAGGATACCTATAAATGATGTGACTAACCTGACGTTCATAACACAAGATTTGTGTGTAGGAAGAGTGGAGCCTTACTTTCAGGTAGCATAATCCATTTTCTAACATGTCATTCTTAAATAATTTTAGATGTTCAGATGTGACTCAATGCATGTGATAGGTGCATGTCTAGACAGTGGTGCAACAGAGAAAACACAAGTATGTGTCATATATGAAGTACTAAGTACATGTAAGTTACGTGTATGTCCATATTACATTAATACTTTCCTAGAGGTTATTTAAGTAAAAGCACTTTTAGATTTTATGTGGAAAAAAGGCACAAGAGGGGGTTCTTTTAAACACTTTAATTCAGCACTATAGCAAGATACATGAGTAAGCAGATGTGTTTATCCTAGAACTGCTATTCCCCTGTTGATTGCTTTGCTTCTAACTCATCTGTAGCCTGATTTCTCTCATCCAGTAGCCTCTGTGCTTCTGCCTCTGATTTTGCAGATTTTATACCATCTGATTTGTGGGTTGCATATTTAGATCCATGGTATCACTGGAATACTTCCAAGGATGCTAGGAAAGGAAAACGTTATTTGGAGCCCTATCAAAATTTGCTGAAGAAAAAAGACACACAGTGGGTTAGAATCAAGTTTTTGGTAGGTTAATTGGTGTGTCTGTCAGTACTTGTTGAAAATCCAGCTCTTTCAGCCACTATTTAACTTACTTTAAAACAAAATTGATAAAGAAAGGAAAACAGAAAATTCCAAAATTCGGAAGAACAAATAGAGATAAGGTGGTAACCTAAAATGTAATTCTAATTAATCCTATGTTTTTAAAAAAAAAAAAAATCCGATTTACTATTTTATAAGAACAGCTCAGTTAAAAACAGGAACGTATTGCAGGAAAAAGGATCTCAACAGATTAGGAAAGGATAGCCTTTGTCTTGAAAAACTCTCTCTTAAACCAGTAAACTTGCTTTTGGCAATGAGAATATAAATACAGATTGCAAACTAATGAATGGTATTTCACTGTTCTTTTTTTGTTGTTTTATTTTTTTCCCCAAGTTTTGGAATACTCTGCTGGGAGAGCCTAAGCAGACGAAAACCTTTTGAAGGTATTTATCTCTACTGTTCGTGTCAGACTTTGTGTTGTCCTAATCTTCTCCACAATTCCTTCATTGCAGGGAAATTCTGATACAAAGAGCACTGTCTTTTCAGATATCCCTTTGCCTTCTTTTATTGTTACAGCACAAAGTTCCATGTTACAGGATGTAAAGATTAGAATTCCTCAACACGCTCTCAGTGTTTCCAAAGCAGCTTATCTTTCTGAAGGGTAAAGGCATAGCTTCTTACCCCAGTTTTAGCATATCTCTGTGCTTGCTGAAGCACTCGGTTACTGAGATGGGTTTTCCACTTACCTTTACTGAGAAAGAAAAAGGAACATTGTAGTGACAAGCAGCTACCTGGACAAGCAGAATGTTAATTTTTAAAGTTGCCATAAATTTCAAATCCTGATCAAGAAATGCCAGTTCATGCTGAGTTCTCTCGAGTAGGCAGGGAATCTTACTTTCTTAGATCAAACTGTGAACCCTTTTAAAGAACTTAATTTGCCAAGCACTGTGTAATAATTATCACAGTCTAGGAATGATCCCTGTTTCATGGAGGTGGAGATCAATGAAAGTATTCTTTGCTATGGGCTCCATTCTGCATTGCAAAACTGATGGAAGGACTCCTGTATTTTACAGGCTAAGGACCTTTAAAAACTACTGCATAGAACAAGATAATAATTTTCATGAAGCTTTTGGCTGCCATCTTGTGGCTATACAAAATAATTTTTTTTTTTTTTGTACAACAGGAGTCATATTGTTGTAATTCAGGTGTAAGGCTTTATATAAAATTGTGCTGAGAACATACCATAATAATTACATGTATTCCTGACATATCTGTGCATGTAGTGTACAATGCATATTTACATGTCTATTTGTGATTTGTCATTTAGACAGTTCTTTATCCTGAAATGTCCTGTTGCAGTAAGTAGGTAAAGGTTACTACTAGTATTTGTTGCTACTACTACTTATTACTACTACTACTTCTAGTAATTATTACTACTACAAGGTTATTTACTCTTGTAAATAGCATATCTATTTGCAAGATTGTTAATACATTTTTGCTTATTAAAAAGCAGTCTTTGTTTTAAAATACAGAAATTAATTTATACTGAATATAATCTTAAGAGAGTTCTGAGTTTTTTAATATCTTTTGCAGTGACATTTTCCTATAAATTGCAGGTCAAGCAACCCCCCTGGAAGTTCTGACAGGAATCTGCAGTAGTTTACGGCCTGGCATTTCAGAGAAGTTTATACCAAGCAATTTGCCTGAGAGGAATAGACTGTTGCACCTTATTGCTCTGTGCTGGCATCAAGAACCAGATTGTAGACCACGTACTGCCGGTAACATTCAGGATTTGCTTTCTTTGTAAGATCTGTAATGGAGATAGTCTTGCTGGGAACATTGCTCTAGCACTCTAAATCATTGACAGCGAAGTGGAAGTAGTCTTTTGACCATCAGAGTACTACAGATGTTTTTCTTAACTGAAGCTTCCTACCAGAAATGGCTTACTTTGCTCCAAAATTGTGTATAGATAAAGTAAAAACGAGTATAAATAAAGGAAGGGATATTATTAGCAGTATATATTAGTTTAACAAAGATCTACCTGTCTTCAGCATTTCTTGATTCCAATGTATATCCAGTTCCCTTTGAAGTGTGCTATCATTGTTTACTTTAGTAGATTATGTTTACCATGTTTCAAAAAGATAGCCAATAAATGCTAAAATTGTGATACTTGAGGACTTCTGAGTAAATTTGCAAAGCTGAAGTGCTGAGGAAGTGATATGCACATAGCTTTCTTGTGATAGATTTGTACATTCATGTGTAAAACCATAACAATTACGTTCACTACCTCTGTATGAACATTTAAGAAAATGTGATTTTAATGTGACTGTAACTATTCTTTAAGATCAGGTCAAAAAGAAAATTAAGAGGAGATATAAGATGGAAGTTGTATTAAACTATTTTCATCTAGTTCATCTAGCTACTCAACATAATAGTAGTTAGTTGCAATCTTCTGATGCCTAAATAGATACACACTTTCATATACAATGTGGTATTTAAAGTGATTTATTACCCTTGCAGAATGTGTAGACCTTCTAAATGGAATTTTGGCCAGTATTAATAAGGAGGCAATTTCCACTGCAATCTACAATCTGATGGATACAAAGGTTAGTGCAAAATTAAGTTCTTTTATCCTCCAAGGACATGATTTGATTCTTTCCATTGCAATCTTTGTAGTCCAAAACCAGAAAAGGCTTTGTCTTTCCTGTTTTATTGGGCATGCCAGAGGGCTAGGAAGTGCCCTGTGGCACTTCATGTTCATTCAGGAGTTGTAGAAAATAGGTACTGTGAGGTTCTCTAGAAACTACATCAATTGCTACCTGGGATTATAAAAATATGCTAGCTTCTTTCTGGTCACCAGCTGTAGTCAGACTGGTGACCAGAAGCTCATGTGAGTGAGAACAAATATCAGCCTCGGGTAGATCAGATTAGGGCTAGAACCAAGGACAATTTTTGTCGTATATACTGGTTAGAAGACATTTAGTTCAAAATCTGGACAGTGTTTGTACCTCTTGTAGCAATACTAGTACCAGCACTTTTCTGTATGCTTTACTGCTTCTAAACTGACATGCTTAGGCACAAGACACTGCTTGTCACAGGGTCTAAGAGGGTTCCCTGATCCCACAGGAATGGTCAGGGAATGGTCAACAACATTGCCATGGGAAATCTGGCACAAATCTGACTGCCACAAATATAGCTATATCATATCTAGCTGACTTAGTCATAGTGGGGAAGCTAGTGACACATACTTCAGCCCTTGAACAAGTATTCTGACTCCATCTGGATTTATACAACCCATGCTGTGTTGTTGATTTCATCACTGTGCTTATGCAGAGTTGTTTATGTTAATGAACCCTGGACTACTTCTACATGTCGCAATCACGCTCTGGGATATAGAACAGATGATCAATGTTTTAACAGGTGGCACAGTTATAGTCCAAGTCATATTGGCTACTGTTGAAGTTTATTTAGGCTTTTACTACAAAATATTCCATAATCTACTGCTTCCATCTCCCTTGAGCAAGCTTTTATTTTTCTATTTGATAAATAAGCAAAGACCACTCTTTATCGTTCGAACAACTGAACTGATAATATGCCCAAAATGACTGTGAAAATGCTATTGAGGATTCTTGAAAATGGATTTATTCCTAAGTGTTGAAGTATAGAAATACCATGGTTCAGACCCAGCCAGTAACAGTACCATACAGCTGCTCACTCTCACCTGTCCCCTCCCCGAGGGGATGGGGAGGAGAACTGAAAGAACTTAAAACCCATGGGTTGAGATAAGAACAATTTAATAACTAAAGTACAAAATACTACTACTACTACTAAAGGAAACAACAAGGGGAGAGAATATAAACTAAAAGGGGAAAGTAAAAACACAATAAACTCAAGTGAGGCACAATACAATTTCTCACCATCCACTGACAGATACCCAGCCTGACCTGAGCAGCAATCAGTCCCTCCTGGGTGACTCCCCTCAGTTTATATTCTGGGCATGATGTGCTGTGGTACAGAATAGCCCTTTGGCTAGTTTGAGTCTGATGTCTTGTCTTTGCTTCCTCCTTGGTTCTTGTGCCCCTTGTCACTGGCACAGCATGAGAGACTGAAAAGTCCTTGATCAGGTTAAGTGCTACTGAGCAAGAACTAACACATCAGTGTGTTATCAGCATTGTTCTCAGACTGAAGCCAAAACACAGCACTGCACCAGCTACTAGGAAGAAAATTAACTCTATCCAAGCTGAAACCAGAACAAGAAACTAAAAAGTAGTTTAACAAATCTGCTGCAGATGTACAAAATGGAAAAAAGTGACAAGTATTGCCACATCCTTATTGCAGTTTGGCATACTAAACACAGGACACACTTGCTGTTTGGATGCTTAAAGGAAAACATGTTACAGCAAGTTCAATATCTCTCTCTCCGTCTCTCAGTATAGGGCTATTTTCTCCTTCCCCTGCATGATTCAAACCAGTGTTTTATAATAAATTTTAAACAGCAGAAATAGTAACAGGGTAGAGTTTTGGGCCCACTTACATGTGTTAAAATGCAAAATTGCTCTGTGCAGTTCACTGTTACTATATATCCACGTACCTTAGACTATAATGTATATTGTCAGTATAAATTATTAGTGTCAGTATAAATTCTTGCTCCTGGCAACTGTGAATTGAACAATCATATGTATTTACTGGAGTTACTGTGCTATTTTCTTTCAGGAGACAGCACTTAATGCATGCAAAGGTTCAGAAATATACACATTGCAGACAGGCATATGCAATTCAGAGGTAAGTATATGGCATGAGAGTACTTCATAAGCTGCTTGTTTTTCCTGACAGCCCTCACAATGTGTAATACAAACACTGTGGGGAAAAATGTCCCTAACCCTTTTGGTCTCTAACCAGGATAACGCCACCCAGTTAACAAACAAACCCCACTGTTTACATTCTTACAAGCAGCTGACTCTTGCAAAAATAACCTCTTCCACTTAAGAGTTGCTTTGAACCTCTCCTTCTTGAAGGGGTCCTAATGAAATTGCAAAAATCTAACCTTTCTTGTAGTGTGTTCAAAATGATGTCTGGAAAAAATCTTAGTCTGAATTCTAGCATTTTCAACCAGTTTTCTTAGAGCAAGGCCAACTGTTTTGTGGTAACTCCAAAATACAGGTAACTCCCATTTTTAATGTGATTCTGCACTTGTGGCAGGCCTGCCGATATTGAAAGATGCAGAGAGATAACTGATGCTCACATGGCTGGATCAGAGCTAGTTTTAAATGGGTCAAGTTCTAGTGACACCCCAGCTGCAGAAGCAACCTAGGACTCCAGTAAACCCTAGGACAGTTAGTCTATGGATCTGTGCTGTCACAGTGACCCAAGGTAACTAGCTAAAATTGAATTAAGTACATCTGTAGGCTCAACAGCTGCATATCCAGCCTGCCCTGCAATGTGATACTCCTGCCTTACACTCCATGAGAAAACTGCTCAGAAAAGCTTCTGGAACAAACGTTTCAAAGATTATAATTCTCCATTTTGATCTTTTTCAGGTCATCTGTCCACATAAAACCCCCCACTTAATCAGCAAGAAAATTCCTTTTCTAGTGCCAAGCTTGTCAACTATTCTACTTGGTAGAAATGCAAACAATGCAAGAAGAGAAAATATTCTCGAGACGGGTCTGTTGAACACTATCCCACAGAATGCAACAACCAAGAAAGGTCTCTACCTTGAAACATATTCAGGTCCAGCTATTCTAAGAGAAGGATAAATTTTACCAGTTTTCCATATGCAAATGTTATTTCCCATGTAAAATTGTCCCTTCTCATACTACAGCTGTGCCCTCTACTAGTATCATCTGAAGCATGAGTTTGCTGCAGAAAACCAGGGATGCCATAATATCTTTCATTAAGTGTATTTAAGTGTAAAAGCCTTTTTTGCTAATATTTTTTTAGAGCCCTGACCCATAATATACAGCTGCCTTTCCCTTGCACATCAAATACTTGACAGAATAAGTCTCCCCTGGGAACAACACTGCCTTGTGCTATGAGCAATAACTGTTTTTTTTTCTAATTTGTTAATAAAAAAAGGAGATATGTTTTAAGAAGACTGTGTTGGATGGGAGCTTTGAGCAACCTGGTCTAGTGGAAGGTGGCCTGAGGCAGGGGGTTGGAACTAGATAAGCTTTAAGGTCCCTTCCAATCCAAACCAGTCTATGATTCTTGGTAATTATCATTCCTATATGAATAGCTTTCTTTGCCTTTCCAATGTGGATTTGTTCTACCAAAGCATTTAAATTTATATCAAGAAGAGATGTATTTCTTTAAAAACTTTTTCAGTACTCCTGATGCCTTTAAACTTGATACTACAGTTGAGCCATAGGAAACCAATTAACTTATAGCAACATCTGCATTTCCAAGCATGTTAGTTCTGATCAATAGTCAGCCAGACTTATCAACAGAATAGAATGTTCCATAACTTCAGAAACTAATTCTTACAGACAGTTTGAAAAAGTCAGATGTGTGTAGCAACGTATGCCAAAATATTCCTCAGAAAGGCCCAAAGAACAGCTAGCAATAAATAAGTGCTCTCAAGTCAGTCTTCAGTTGCAGTCTCTTCTGCAGTGGCTGACATGTATAATGTTCTGTCATTCAATTCAAGGGTCTTATCTTACTCATCTCAAACTTTTCCTAGATCACCCAGGCTCTGACAGTAGAAAACCAAATTCCTTTTGCACAATTCCCTTATCTGGTTCAACTGCAATCAAAGAAAGCAGTGAGCATAAAGACCCAGCATTGGCTCTGAAGCACACAGCACAACCTGTGCATCTTGAACAAGCAGTGACAGGTAAGACACCACTTTCAGTTTGAGGTGGCAGTATTCTCCTTGGGCAGATTTTAGTGATTAAATTGTTTAAAGTTTGGAGGACATGGATCTCTCTAAATTCTGCGCATATTTTCAGGTATTTAGTCTAATAACTCCTCCAAACTTGATATAAATGTCTCATGGGTCAATTTGTGTATAGCTGCTCCTGCATTCTCAGAAGTTCAAGCACTGGCCATCAAGAACACTGGCTTGTTTGGGTCATATTCACACTGGTTCTGAAAAGACAGCAATAAAAATACAAACAGTGTAGCATACAGTGAATGTGAAACACATCAGTTGCTTATGTCTAAAATTTATTTAATTTTAATCTGTGTATTTTATACCTCCACAAAAGTAGCGACTGACTACCAAAACAGGGAAGCAGGAGGAGAGGGTACCATTCACTTCCTTACTTACATGGTCTCAGTTCTTCCTATTGAACAAAGACAAAGAAGGCTGGCTTCTGACTTGTGAAACCTTCCTCTGCCTGTAGCTTTGTGAGTTGTTCTCTAACTTTTTGCAAGCTGGACTATGATGGTTCTCACAGCTAGCTGGCCGTTTTTCTCTTCTTCAACTTACTTCCAAAGTTAATGTAATTTCTGGATAAATCAACAGACTAGTTCATACAGGAGAAGTTCACCACAGATCTCTACTGGCAACAGTCAAAAATCAGAATGACTGAGGCATGTTCTCCAAAACAATGGCTTTCAGTTATTAATTTTCTCTTGGTGTATGGTATTGACTGTACACTAATGTCACTATCAAGCATTCTAATCGGTTTGTGAAGAGACAGAACTGAAAGCTCTTGGCTGCTTTGCAGTATTTACTTTTGTTGCTAGTTTTACTTTGACATATATTCAAGTTCCCAGTTTCATGCTACATGTTTCAAACAATCCTGCTATCCTGAATAACCTATTATTTATCCTTCCACTTTCTACAGGACAAAGTTTCCTCACCTATGTGGAGCCAAGCTACTTTGCATAATGTTTCATACAGGTGCTAGATGAATAGTGCAAGACCTGAAAATCTCCTTCCCTTACACAATCTGAGCAATTAATAACCTTTAGAAACATTTATCTTCTGTAATCATATCTTCATGAGTTTCAAACAAAAAAAAAAACAACCCACATTGGACTAGTTTTGAACAAAGAATGCAAATAAACTACCTTTTCCTTTCCCCTACTGAGTTTATATTTCTAGTGTTGATGGTATCACTTGCTAAAAACTTCAGGAAGAAAAAAGCACTCAGTTTATCTCATTTTGTTTCCTTTTCACTCAAGATCCTCGCCGCAAAGGAAACTGCTGTCAAATACTAGCCTGCCAGAGACAGACCATACTGAACTGCATGACAGAAGGACGCCTCAACCACATCCTTGATGTCCTTCGCTCACAGCAAATGTTGTCCCGAATGGATTATGAAACAATTACTTCTTACCCCACAGTGACTGGCCGTGCTCGGGCATTGTTGGACACTTGCCTTTGTCTTGGAGAGAGGGCAGCCCAGGTGGTAGTGACTGTACTTTCAGTAACCAAATGTAGTCCTCTGGGACAAGGCAGCCATTGCCCAGACTGTCCTGCTAAGGGGAAAAGGCTCATGTTGTGACTTTTTTTTTTTTCCAGTTTGTTACATGCATCAGAGCACTGGTAATTTGTAACGGCAATGATTCATGTTAATTCCTCATAACCCATTGAGTGAAGTCACTTCTTCCTATGGTCCATGATTTTAGTCCGCTAGTGGAAAAAGCTAGCTGGATTAAAAGGTCAAGTCAACCACTGCCTACAGAAATTAGCAAGAGTGGTGTAACAAATTCTAATTTGGGCCTCAGAGCTGTGAGGAGTGCAGTGCGTGCCTAAGCAAACACAGTGAGTCAGATGACACCTTATTTCCTTTATTTTTTTAGAATGGAAGAAAATGGATCATGACTTTTTGGAAGTCATACTATGAAAGAACAGCTGTTATTAAATCCTTCCAAATAAGGATATCAAACAACAGGATACCGAATGACGGAAAAAAAGTTACTCCCTTTCACTGAGCTCATATCTGAGCCAGCTGTTAGAGTGAAAAGCTTAAAAGAATCAAGAAATATTTATTTATTTAACAGGGCCTTAAGTAAGACTTGTAAATTGTATATTATGCATATAAATGACTTTATTTTTACTCATAAATGGCTATATGCTCTGAAAATGGGGCAGTACTTTGGGGAAGTGGGGCTTAAAGTAGAAAAACATTAATACCTTCCATCCATGTTGTCTGCAGTTCAAATGTGAAATTAAACCAGGAAGATCATTTTGAAATGGTGGTTCTGCTAAACTGTGGTCATGGCTGTACTTGGATGGGAGACCACCTGGGAATACCGGGTGCTGTATGCATGGACTTATCCATGGCTACAGACTCCTTGGGGTGTCCTTGGGGTGGACTCGTCCATAGGCCATAGTCCCTTCGACTTGAGTTCACACTGGAGTTACAGCCTATCCGGTACAGCAGCAGAGAAACAGCAGTGACGCCCTGGTCATCTGCCAGCCCAAGTCCATCTCCATTGCTGTTACCCAGATGTTCCCAGGTACAGTAGAGTGAGATGATAAGCAGTATGGCAAGCAGAGAAAGCAAAGAGCAGCCACTAACAAGCACTAGACTGTAATATACAGTAAGGCAAGCAAGACCCTTGACAAGCACAGAAGCCTGTCACATAATAGATAAACATCAATGACAGCTATAAATTTGATCTAGGTCATTCCAATCAAATCTTTCATTATCTCAACCCTTCAAGCACCATGTTGGGAACCAAAAAGGATTGTCTCAGTTTAACCCCAGCAGGCAACTAGGCCCCACACAACTGCTCATTCATTCCCCTCCTTGTGGGATGTGGGAGAGAATCAGAAGGGTAACAATGAAAAAAATTGTGGGTTGAGATAAAGTCAATTTAATAGGTACAGCAAAAGCCATGTGCACAAGCAAAGCAAAACAAGGAATTCATTCACCACTTGCCATTGTCAAGCAGGTGTTCAGCCATCTCCAGAAAAGCTCCATCACACACAACAGTTTATCAACTGGGTTATGCCATCACTCCAAACATTCCCCCTTCCTCTTCCTTTCTCCAGCTTTATGGTCATATGATGTCACACAATCATACGACATCATATGGTATGGAATACCATATACTTGGGTTATTGGGGTCAGCTGTCCCAGCTGTTTCCTCTCCCAGCTTCTTGGGCACCTACTCGCTGGCAAGGTGGGGTGAGGAGCAAAATAAGCCTTCACTCAGTGTAAGTGCAGCTCAGCAACAATGTAAACACCCCTATATTAACAACACTGTTTCCAGCACAAATCTGAAACACAGCCCCATACTAGCTACTATGAAGCAGATTAACTCTATCCCAGACAAAACCATAAAGGAAAATAGTAAGATTATTTTAATTATAATGCAAATGAAGTTATATAAGATGATAGTTTTTTTGTAGGGCACAGTGGGATTCCTTCAAGCTTCATGGCACTGGATTAACTCGAGAAGTTGTTGAAGTATTTCAACTGCAAAACCACATTCCTCTGTTTCCTTGTGTTACATTTGTTCTCAATACAGTTTCTAACTGCTTATTGAATTCAGCAACTTAGCAGGTTGCAATTTTAAATAGAGTGATGATGGATTTTTAAAGAGATAAGAAATTAGTTACATCATATAGTACAATGCTGCTAGACTCATAAACATAATTTTATGTAAATTCATTAAATTTTAAGACTGTCTTGAGATAAAATATTTTTACAATTAAAAGCAGTCTATCAGAATGTCAACAATAGTTTTGCCTATTAAAGAAGCTAAACATCTACTTGACTTGCTTTTTTTACTGTACACTTTAAATGGGAACTTTCAACAGTCTGCTAAAAAAGATGCCTTTTTTTGCGAGGAAGAGAGCTGCTGATACGGTGTTTTGCCTGTTTAGAAGGCGTAAAATAGAGTAAAATAGATAATCATTCGCCTGTGGGGAGATATTTACAGACTTTTAAAGCGAGAAACTAGCAGTACTGCTGAAACTTAATTACCAGCTTTCAAAAGTTATTCTATTCAGTTGTTCTGCTGGACACTTTACACTCCTGTGAAATATGTGCCAGCTAGCAGGCTATGCTGATTTTTTTTAATTTTTTTTTTTTTTGGTTATTATATTTTTGACACAGAAACAGCTTTGGTTCTTTTCTTGAAACAGCTGCCTACTTGAGAATATCATCTGATGCCAGATCTAAGCCCAGTCTTAACAGTCAATTGCAGAACTGGCACCAAACCAGTGGGAGCATAAGTTATCTGTTTTTCCAGACAGATTTTTGTTCTCCTTACTTCTATCCACAAACAGATTTCTGATACCTTTCTTAACTGAAATCAATGCATGAGTTGGAGAATTTTTGTATTAATACTTTGGCTTAAAGCCTTGTGATAACTGGCTATGCTTCTGCCAAAGCCTTGCTATAAACATACTTAAGTCAATGTAGCCAAATGCACAGACTACTCTCCCTTGTGTAACATAAATATTTAAAATTTGGGGTTGTTGACAGTTGCAGCTGTTGGGAGTCTTTCAGTGTGATATTTTGAATGGATGCTACTAGTTTATTAACATAAACTTCTGTTTATGTAAAAACTTTTGACACAAAACTAGAATACAGTGTCCTGAAACTAGCATAACTTCATTTTGTCTCACCAAAAATACATACTCTTATAAGGCCTATAATGCGTTGGCTTTGTAACAAAGACATTAATGTAATGTGAAATATCAGACTGCTTAAAGCTTATGGTATTGTGCTTGTACCCAAGCTAGTTCATTAGTTAAGATTTCTATTGTCATTGCCTCTATGTTCTGCAGTTCTCCTGTTATCACAAAATAATACAGAATAAATTACACCACGTAAGAGTAAAGGTAGAAGAATCAAACTGTTCTTTAGTATTTATGGCAATAAACAAGACTCAAATGTGAAGAAAGTCTTGAGTTGCAGTAGGGAAATAGAAAACATAGATAACTCCAGAAAACAGCAAAGGGAATAATAAAAAGAAGTCACTTCAGGACTAACCATACAAAGTAATTAGTAAAACTCTCTCTTGCAGTTACTCAGAAAAGACACTAGAGTTAACAGATGTAAAAAACGATAGATCATATTCAAATCCTATGAAGCTACTTAGAGGAACAGTATTATTAAAGGAACAGTAAGTGGAGTAGGCAGATGGTTATTTTTCTGACTTTATTGTATTTTTCTTCTCAAGGCTGTTTGCAGTTATCTTTTGCTGACTTGCAAAAAGATGGCTGTCTATTGCCCTTTTTCCTATCATAGACAAAACCCAGAACATTACTTGTGCTGAACTGGTATGATCTCACATAGAAATTTGATTTTTTTTCTGATAGACTGCATGTCTCAGACAAGCTTTCCTAAAGCCTGTATGAGACAAAAACATTTACAGGCAAAGAAATATTTCAACACAGGGAAACTTTGTGCAAAACAAGCCAATACTTTTTTCTCTTCCCTTCTGCTCTGACTGTTGCAGAGTGGGTTCAAATGCAGTCTGGCATCTCTGGCTAAAAGCTATTCTCTCCACTAAAATCAATTGTATGCTGGTATGTAAAGCTGCAGATTTGTTTTACAGAAATCTCTCAAGTATAGAATCAATGAAATATTCAAGCGAAGACAGACTTGGATGCTGTTTTATATCATCATGTTTTTCAAACTCAAATTGCATAGTCTTTAATTTCATTTTCTAGATGAGATAAATAATAGGATTTGAACACCTCAGCTGTTGCATTTTAATATGTTTTATAGGAATGTTTTCTGCTATTCCATTACTGTTATACCAATATAGCAATTTAAATCATTCTTAGAATCACAGAATCATTTAGATTGGAAAGAAACCTTTAAGATCACTGAGTACCTGCCAAGTCCACCATAATCTTAGCTGATACGAGACATTTATTTTTTTTTAATCCAATGGCAACTCTCAGTTTCTTTGCCCAAACCATCTCCCAGCAATGAAAGTCATCATTTCTTATTCAGTGTTCCTTATGTTGATCTTCAGCAGCAAGAGAAGGTGCACATACTGTGAACAGGCCTCTCCTGCTTATAACAGTGTCAGTTAACTGTACCAATTACTGTGCATAGTGACAACTGCAGAAGTAAAGGTTCACCATGGCTTTGACACTTTAAGTTACATGCTTGGGCATGTAGAGACGATTTTTCATGTCTGTTTTTAGAGCTGACTATTTAATCACAGACCTTTTTTTCTTGGACAAATGAAGCCCTTTTAAAGAACAAAATAAAATAGAATTATCAGAATTTCACAAGTGTAATTTTATGGTACATTATATACTGGATTTAACTCCAAGAGCATACAATGCAGCTATCTTCTGATCATTTCAGTACAGCCACTGAATGTTCTTTGTTTTAATGACAAAACATTATGGGCAACTACAGTGTATGTAATTCCAGCCAGAATAATACAAAAGAAAAATTTCTTCAGTGATACAACACTTTAGTAATAATTTTTTTTCTTTGCAATAAGGACAAATACAGAGTTGTTCATGTGACACTGAGCAACCTACGTGATTGACCAATGTAAGTGTGAGGTGAGGACACTT